AATTGGTGCATCTCGTTGACCTAAAAAAAAAACAATATCGATGATCACTTATTTGTCTAAGATAAGAGGTATGGAGGTATCTGCTGCTTTGTTGGTTTCTCCTTTCTTTCTTATTTTCATTTTAAAGTATTGCAAATAAAGGTTGTTTGATACGCACTTTTTAGCAGTTCAGTAGGGCACACCAATTCATTAAACATTAAATGGTAATATGAAAAGGATCACAGTATCTTCTTAAAACAGAGTTCTTTTTAGGAGCACTTGTTAGAATATACGAAGGTCGATATTGTTGTGTTAGCGGACCACAACAGACCACCACCCTGAGGAGTAGCTTGATAGTTAAAAAGACTGGAGGGAGAGTTTTTAAATGACAAGGATCGATTCAAGTAATATATTCGTAGAATTTAAGAACTGAAGTCACTTGCATCTTGCACTTGCTCATAAAATAATATAGGGTCATTTATTTGAACTCAATTCGTGTATAACCAATAGACTTTCCTATCTTTCAAAGCATGATTTTTTTCTCCCTCCAAATGATAGGAGATAACGGGGTAAACTTCGACGCGGGAGAAGTGGGACACCTTAGCTAACTCATTTTTGTAAATATTAATCTGGTAAAATCCTATAAAAAATTCGTAATTATCTATGTTCACAAATACATCAACAGCTATACCACGATGTTGTATGAAGGTTCAATAATTATCACTATTTTTTATTAACAAGTTTCTTTGGGTTTTTTTCTTTCTTTTTCTTCTTCTTTTTTTCGTGTTTTTTTTTTTTTTTTTTTTTTTTTTTTGGGGGGGGGGGGGGGTGGTGGAGGGGGGTTCCTGTCAAAGGTTTTACCCGTGTACCGACCACTTGGCCGTTCTAAACACTGTGCATATAGTTTAAAGCTCTGATATGAACCAATATTGTGCAATAATAGCTTTAATGATAAAACCTGAAGAAATAATATTTTGTTGTTTTCCTCTTATTTTGGGGTGAACTCGGTCATTTTGTCCCATTTTACTCATTAACATTTGTATTTATTAGGAACGTACATTTTATCCAGTCATAGTCCATAGACATATTACATAGAAATATTGTACATTAAAGAGTGATATAAACTTATATCAGGCGATTCAGATTGGTCAAAACACAGTATACATTCTACTAATAATCTTTCTTTTTTTAATGTTGAAATTTAAATAAAACTTACCAAAATGCTCATCAATTATTGATCCATTATATTCTAAGGTCAGATAAAGGCTCCTTTAAAATGTTCTTATTTCAAAGTGATTGAATACTTTTAATATATTCATCACTCATTTCGGGACAATCGCCTGTAACAATTGCGCTTTTAGCATGTATGTGAAGTTTGTCCCACTTCACCCCTTGCACTGTCCCACTTCGGCCTAGGGCGGCTCACTTCTCACCGTCCATTACCCCTTTTTTCGTTGATGATTAATTGTATTTAAAAAAAACTCATAACAAAGATAGGGTGTCCTAGTATAGCCTAGTATTAGTATTACATACCACATTTAAAAAATTAGAGGCTACAATTAATATTGACATGGTTACAAAGTAAAAAGTCCCTCATCTTGATGTGTGTTCCGCTTAACCCCGTTTTACCCTATCATTCTGCTTTCCCAATTGTACGGCTTTCAAACTTAAAGGTAATGTAAAGTTGTGGGCAAATTTGAAGATTGAATTGATAGTATTTCCTTAAAATATTGTTGATATATTTGGATGCCCCTTTGAATGTATTGTAAGCACTAGAAAATTTTGCCCCTAAAACAATTCTGCTTTCGAGAAATTGAAAAATTAAAATTTACCGGTGCTCCCGGTAAATTTCAAAAATTTCAAATAGCGCCTAAGGCCGCTCCATGGTAGCTGCGACCATGAAAATCTCAGACTAAGCAGCTCCGACATATAATTTCCAAACGGGAATAACAAATCAGTCGATTGTAATAAAAAAAAAACATTGTTTTAAAGCTAAAGTAATATCAGTCTTGAGAGGAAGCTATACAACATATAGAGTTTATTATTGACAATTTCATCACTTTAGAGTCGATTTAAACCGCGACAACGATCATTAAATATTGTAAAATCGCATATGCTTCCAATATGTTCATTTGAACCAAATTCATGACCCCATACCAAAACTTTATATTACCTTTAAAGGTAGCATGTCCCATTGCAGGCCAAAAAATGAAAAGGTTGAATTCCAACGGCATTTGAAAGATTATTAGAGTGTTGAATAAACTTTGAAACTTTGAATAATACTAATTAAGAACTTCCGTTAAAAAAAAAAGGGGGGGGGGGGGCTTGAAAATGTCTTTAAGTGGGAAAATAACGACTATTAGTTGTCGAATCGACTTAAGAGCTATAGAGCCAGTAAGTAATAGTCTGATTTTCAGACCATTGTACCGAATGGTCGTACGATTTATGCTGCACAAAGATTCAATCAGTTTAATTTTGGCCATTACAAGAAGTGGGTTATTGATGTAGGCAAATGCTCATGTACCCGTTACAGCTCATTTTATGTATGTTATTACCAAAGAAGAAGAAAAAGACAGTCAGTCACTCAATAGTGTCTGACAGTGAAGTCTAGCAAGTAAACGGGTTTCCTTGCATAATTTGAATATTAGGACACTGCTAACGTTTAAATTTCACAGATAAGACATACATGACATATTAATTCCTGCAAAGTTCTACAGAATTTGATGTTGGCTGCAAAAGGGACATAGTATCTTCGGAGTATCTTTAACATATCATGGTGACCTGAATGAACCCTGCGCTTAACACATTTGTTAAAAAATTATCAAAAACAATTCAATTCCCCAGTTGTACGCGCTAAATAAGTCTTGGAATTTATTCATAAAATATTACTTGCCAATCGAGGGACATTGATTGAACGTGCACGCTGCATGGTCAAAGAGATTCGTGCATGATTTGTAATAGCGCCATCATTCGGTCGGAAACTTTTTGAGGAACCGCGAACACTATGAAAGGAAATTCAGATATATAAATAGAGCTATTTTTTGTTGTTAATGCTCACCGGTGCTTGCGTTACAAAAGCTTAGAGAATGGATAAATAAAACCATTCATACCTGGAATCCACATGTCTTTTAACAAAAGAATCTCTGAAACAAAATATCGTATGAAAATAATTCATAACTAAGCAGACCGTAAACATAAACAAATCAAATGGAATATGAAATGCTACTATCATCCTGCACACACAAAAAGAATGACCGAAAATACCAGATACTGTTGATAAAATTGAAAAATCTCAAATTTTGCTTGCCATATCGCTTATAAATATTCAATGAATAATCCTTACAGGCTGCGGTTGCTGCTACTGCAAAATGACATTGCACATTCGGCCAATATCAGTTGCTACTTTTCTCCCTTTTCTTCTCTTGTGTCTTCTCTCGATCCCGCTTTGAAGAAAACTCTGGCATCTTTGCTCCATTCCCTTTACATCCATTAGAGCCTCGACATTCCACGCACTACTTTTCTTCTGTTGTGTGTTTCATCATTCTGTTTAATGGCAAAATTCACCAAAGAGCTTACAAGAAAGACAGTACGGTAAGCCTCGGAACAAAATGGGTCAACAAATTGGCGCCCGTCTCAATTGAACTACAGTGAAACCTGTTATAAAGTCCGCTTATTAAGGGAGACAACAAAAGTGATCTTTATGAGCAGGTGGTCTTTCTATACGGGTGGTCAATAAAGCAGGTTCGACTGTACGCAGGTCTTTACACTCATCATTCAGACAAGATTATATTCTTAATTTTGTTGATATTAAATATTCGTGTTTATTGTTTCATCAATTAATAATTAAAGCATAAAAAATGCACATTTTTCTTGATCGTAATTAAATTATGACTACAATACCCTTTGAATAGATGGCCCTCCAAATAAGGAACATCGTGAAGTAACTAACACGAGATCGAAAAGAAAACATCTTGAAGAACACACACAATCGAAAAAGAAAGAGAGAATAGAAGAAGAAAAACAAACTCCAGTATGTCTATAATGAATTGGGGATTGAGGGCGCTAAACGTTTATATTTTTCTTCAGATCTCGCCAGATGTTCAAAAGAAGTGTAAAATAATGCAGGTTTTTATTTTTTTTTATTTGATTTCATTTTACAGATGGGACCCGCTATCTAGTATAAAAAAGGTAAGGTGCTTTTTAACCTTCGATCCCCCCCCCCCCCCCACAGTTTTGAATAGATGAGATTTCATGTTGACTTCATCTGTTCAATTTCAGACATTTCCGTCCATATCCACTCCCCCCCCCCTCTCTCTCTCTCTCTCTCTCTCCCTTCTCCCCTCTCTGCCCTCTCCATCCCCCCTCTCTCTCTCTCTCCCTCCTCTCCTCTCTCCCCTCTCCATCTCCCCCTCTCTCTCTCTCTCTCTCTCCCTCCTCCCCTCTCTCCCCTCTCCATCTCCCCCTCTCTCTCTCTCTCTCCCTCCTCCCCTCTCTCCTCTCTCCATCTCCCCCTCTCTCTCTCTCTCCCTCCTCCCCTCTCTCCCCTCTCCATCTCTCTCTCTCTCTCCCTCCTCCCCTCTCTCCCCTCTCCATCTCCCCCCCCTCTCTCTCTCTCTCTCCCTCCTCCCCTCTCTCCCCTCTCCATCTCTCTCTCTCTCTCCCTCCTCCCCTCTCTCCCCTCTCCATCTCCCCCCTCTCTCTCTCTCTCTCTCTCTCCCTCCTCCCCTCTCTCCCCTCTTCATTTCCCCCTCTCTCTCTCTCTCTCCCTCCTCCCCTCTCTGCCCTCTCCATCTCCCCCCCCCCTCTCTCTCTCTCTCCCTCCTCCCCTCTCCATCTCACCTCTCTCTCTCTCTCTCTCTCTCTCTCTCTCTCTCTCTCTCTCTCCCTCCCCTCTCTCTTTCTCTCTCCTCCCTTTCCCTCTACTCTCTCAAAATGTACATTACCTTCATTTCGCATTTGTATCCCCTTTCTCTCTATCTCTCACCTCTATCTCACAACCAAAAAATCAATTGATTCTGTAATTAAATTGTTTATGTGCCATTTTAATAATATATAATCTGCTGTACAATTCTGAAAAGATACAACTTACACGATTTCATAATACATTCACATAATAGGCCACGTGCACAAGAATTATTATATCTTTCGACATGACACTTATAATAGTTTAGGAAATTAGGACTGTCTATAAAGCATTCATGAACAGTTATTTGCAAAGTCACACAAAACAACGTAGCATTCACTAAAGCACATATCACCACAATTCTCTCAAATTCTCTCAAGTAAATTTGATATATAATAGTTCATCATCTCCACCCCCCCCCCCCCCCCCTCTTTGTTCATGTAGTTGAATTCTTTGATTTTATGGATACCTATTGCACCCTGTTGACATCATCGTTCATTTAAATATTTATCAGCTTAGATAGAAACAACAGGGTAATAAATGTAAATTTTCAAGAAAGAAAAATGTGAATGAGTATAAAAGAAGAAAAACTACCTACTATGATTTAATTTACTATTTCTATTGCACACACTTGATGTTTTGTCTGTTTGGAGCCAGAAGGGCATTAACTCAGATACTTTTACAGAGGAGGATTAATGCCCCTTTAGCTCTGAACAGAATTGTTTGTTTTCCTTGAAGAGGCATAATTTGGTACTGGTGAAAACAGGAATTCAGCAAGTGGGTAAGTACAGAATAAGTATGAAGGAGCATGATTGCATATCCTTAGACATTGTATGCTTGGTGCAAGAAGGGTGTTATCTCTGTGTTCAAGGATATGGGTTAACATCCTTCTGGCTCCGACCAGACAGCAGTAACATATTCTAACATATCAGAATACTTTTCAGGAGCAGAAAATAGAAACTAAAATGCAACCTTCATACCACTCATGTATCAGACCAATCACATGGTGAGAGCTCAAAGGGTGTTAACTGTGGGAAATGATATGAGTTAAAGCCTTCTGACTCTCAGCAGACTAAATCAAGAGAATTTCACTACATATGGCTAAGAAGTCATGGTTTTGCTTTTGTTTTAGAAACCAATCTCTCAGGCATCCATACGAGGTGACCGCATGCTATCATATCACATATTCCACATACTTGAATATGGATTCTACAATCCACACAGGTAAAACTATTAAGGAACTAGTGTGTCACAATTAATGATGCAGTTTATACACAACGCACTCTGGCAAAATTGAAAAATAGCAACAAAAACAGACATACTTAAGTTTTTTGTCTTGCCTTCATCAGTGTCAATCGCAAGAATGAACAGAAAGCCGAAATCAGGCAATATAAGCGAAAGCTACAGGAACAAGCGCACAAAAGATACTTGGGCTGTGATTGGCCGACAGAAAGAAGATGTAAGGCCATTATTTACTTTCTGTTCATTTTTGTGACTTACTCTAATGAGGGCAAGATGAAAAGCTTTAGGATGTTTGCTTCCGTTGCTATTTTTCGATTTAGAAGTTCCAATCATCTCTGGCAAAATTGTTGCAAGATATACATTTTGTGTCAACGTTCAAGTGCACATGATTGATGCAAATTCACACATACATGACAAAAGGGCATATCAGCATCCTTATAAATTACAATACTATGATTTACTCACAAAGTAATGTGTCCTATTGTGTTCTTTCTAGCTTGAGGTATGTACAGATCAGTGTAATGGCTAGTTTATTTTGTAACTGAAGTAAATACTTTCAAACTTCAAAATCCATGAGAAACATGTTTTCTCGAGCAATGTTCTAAAAATTGGAATAGAATAATTGGGGGGGGGGGGGGGTTATAAAAGAAGCTAACCAGAAATATCTACTTTCATTGCTAGAAAATAGAACTTTTGCTGATCTGTTGTCAAAGGAAAAGAGGGTAGATTTATGTACATTTACATAATTCAGATGAAGACAGAAATCTATGGAGGAGAACCTGTGCCTCAAGAGTCGATATGAAACATGCTGTTGCCTCAGCGGCCCCAAGCTATGATGGGACATAGATAAACAGACAGATAGATAGATAAACAAACAAACAGATAGGTTAATCGATAGATAAACAAATTGGAAGATAGACAAATAGAAAGATCAGTAGATGAATAGATAGGTGGATAGATGGACTGGTAGATAGATGGAGAGGTGGATAGATAAATAGATTAATAAATAAAATGGAAGATAGATAAATAGGAAGAAAGATAGATGATGGATGGATAGATAGATGGATGGATGGATAGATAGATAGGGAGACTGGTCCCTTTTACACAAGGTCCCTTCAGTTAAGAGACAGGGGTACAGCAGCACTTAAAGATTGGAAGAAGATGTCCCAAAAGAAACTTGAGCAATTTAAACAGGTACATAAAATTATGAGGCTTTGCTTAAAACACTGACATTGACTTAGTTGAATTAAACAGCAAATAATATATAATAATGATTTTATAACCTTACATATAGCTTCCTGGACAGGATTTTTTTTAAAACCACCCTGTAATTCATACTGAGGGTTCCAGCTCTCAGCATTTGATACAAGATTTTTTATTGATTTATTTGAGATGTTTTTAGAAGGGAAGGGCGGAGTCTTTCTTTGGTCTTCAATAGATATGATTTTGCTAATTGAAATTATTTTTGCTGCATTGGAAAGTCACATGCAAAGAACACATTAGATATTGCGATAAAATGAATAATCTGTTGAGAGCCAGAAAGGTATTAACTCTGTATGAAAAATAATATGAGTTATTGCCCTTAGGCTTATAGCTTGTAGTAAACACGAAAGCAAGTAATAAAGCAGTAAGGACATTATCTTCAGAGAGGAACATCACCATAACCTCATGATTGCCTAAGGTTCAATATGAATCAAAATACTTGGAATATGCTCAAATTAAATTGACACAAGGGATAATACAAATGGACATTCCGTGTGACAATGGACAAAGTAGCTGACAGGAGAGAAGTGCATCATATCTTTTCATAGATTATAACATAAATATTCACACATTATGAAGCAGGTTGTTTGTGGATTGTTTTCCTTCCTTCTGCAGCTTTGGAAGGAAATTATCACACAATGATCTTCAGAGTCAAGAGGAGGAACAGAGAGGTGGTGAAGACAAAAACGTGAGGCCCTTTCACGATAGTGTAGATTTATATACTTCACACAAGTTTTTCCAGGAAACGTTGCTAAAAACAGCATCTTTTACCTGTCTGTGCATTTGATCCCGTAGTTCAGGGACATGATGCCATCAACAAAAACATCCTCCGATAACGCCTCTACGATTGCCTTCTATAGTCCAAGCAGAAAGAAGGGCAGTCGACTCTTCATGAAGTCTCTTTTCAAATTTCCCATTGTCTTTCATAATTGGCATGATTGTTCCTCGAACTCAAGCGAGAGCAGCGCTTGCCTCATTTTCCCGCGTCAAAGATATTGAGCATCTTGTCCGAGTTGATGACGCTGAATTGCCTGACGTCTGAGAGCCTGGTGACCAGACGAGGGAACACGGACCGGTCGTTGGGATGGTTGTGCATGACCTGGGACTGGAGGGCCTGTATGACCTGAAGCTGGAGCGGTTCTATCTGCTGAGGGTACTTCAGACCTGGACGATCTGTCAACAGTAAAGGAAGAATAGGGGAGAATTTGTTAGCTTTTTGCAGTTACTAATTTTTTTGTTTTGCATGAGGGTGAACAATTTTCATAAGTTACCCCCAAAATACTGCTATTGCTGCTTTTAAATGAAATCCACATTATCGCAAAATAATCAAATAAATGTATATCTGTATTTAAATTATTGCCTTTAACAATTTTGCCAAAAATCTCAAAATGCATATATAACAAGTATGTTTTGGTTAGTATACTGGATAGGATTTCCATAAATCATTGCAAAATTATGTAGAAACATGGACAACACAATACGTAAAAACAGGACATCTCACTCAGAAAAAATAATAATGTTCATTATATTACTAAATATTCCATTGAAATGACACCTTAAAATATATGTCTCACTTGTAAATTCACACAAAATGAAACCTTAACAAACAAAATTCCAAAAGCATAAATTAAGAAAGACTAGTGATTTTCCTAAAATTAACACATAGAATTCTAGTTAATTGTCATGGAAATAAAATGCCATCCCCACAAAAGGAATGATCTATGATTCATAATCATAGCACTTCTGTTTTTGCTCGGGAAGATTAACCATTTATAAACCTATGCCGCCCCCCCCCCTTCCCTCTCTCTCTCTCTCTCCCACAATTATCTCACCAGCAATGCCTTACTCAACTGTGCCATATTCATCTGAACTAGACGGGAATCTAGGCCAATCTTTCTACCATTCGATCAATAAAGCGGTGATGTGGTCTGAGAGAGAGAGAGAGAGAGACAACCACGGCACACAATAACACACACACTCGCACACTCACATCCTCAAACACACACATCCTACAGCATGGAGAGGCCGACAATGTGGGGCAGATTCAATGGTCTGCTGACGTTTTTTCTCGCTAATAGCAAAAATAGGTCTCGTCATGACATACTTCTCAGCGGAAGTTCATGGCACATGTTAAATGCGGTGGTGGTGCAAAGGGGCACGTCTGACCCCCCTCCAAATGCTGATGCCTATTTCACAAGAGGTTTTTGCGCTTAAGTTTTGAAGATAAAATAAAATCGATTGCTAACCCTTTCTTGAAGGATATGTGGTCTGTTGAGAGCCAGAAGGGTGTTAACTCTGTATTACAGAATACAGTACATGTATATGAGTTGATGCCTTTCATGCTCTGAACGGATGAAGTATATTAATGTTATTTGTTATGATTTCATTACATTCACTCCAAGATGAATATATCATGACAAAATAAAAAAATGTAATTTGCGGTTTCTTTACCCACACCATCGTCATACCGATGCAATTAAAATCCGTTCATATGGAAATCTTGTCCGTCATTGTATCATTAAAGGTATATCCCCAGCCATCGGGCATGTGAGATCAATGACACACTTTACAGAAGAAAAAAATAACTACCGTATCTTGGCAACCATTCACCAAACGTCACAATAGCACGTACACTGTACTTGTGCACGCAATTCGTCTTTAGAAGCAAGCGCTGAGGCGAGAACAAAGTGACTTTTGCCCTTGACAATTAATGCAGGAACTGCAGCAGCATGCAGGACCCTTCATGTGGCCTTACTGACACACATCTGCTCCGGGTTCATGATTTGAGGCAGCCTTAGAATAGGCAGTGAGGGAAGCGGTAGTGATTAAAATGTGGAATTAAGCCCACAGTTCGGGCTGTCCCTTTTTTTTCTGTTTTGTGTTTGTGACCTACATCTATCTCTAGTTCAAGTGCACCATGGCGGCTCTGTCTGTCGGTCACGTCCTGAACTTTGCTTGAATTAATCATCTTATTTGATCTGATGATTGCAGCTTTTTATTGCAAGCAATGAACCTACATCTACATGCTGTAGAGTTTAATCACTTTTAAGTGACTATTATCTGTTGTTTAAAAAAAAAAATCTTTTGGGTATATTTTAATACATTTAGTTTTCTCTTTGTGTTTTTTTTTTCCTTCCAGAGAAATAACTTGAGGTGGAGTCAAATTTAGACTTGAGAGAGGTACATAGTGCGGTAGAGAAGAGTAAACACAAGAGAGAGAGAGAGAGAGAGAGAGAGAGAGAGAGAGAGAGAGATAGTGAGAGAACATAAGCAAGGGGTCGAGGTGATACATGATAAGAAGAAACAATTAAAAAAGAGAAGAGACATGTGAGAAAGGAGTTCAAGGCATCAAATACAGAAGGAAAAGAAAAGACTCTTAGAGTTTGGAGCAAGAGAAGAGGGATACAGAGAGAGAGAGAGGGAGACAAGCGAGTGGTGTTTGGAGAGAGAGAATTGTTGTGTGTGTGGGAGCGGAGAGGAGGGGGAGAGAACTGATGGCCTCAGAGTGTAACAGAGGTGAACCTCTCAGCGCCCTTTTTGGGGTCACTCGTAGCGACCTACTTTCCAGTCGACTGGTTCAGCTTACCGAGTCTGTACTCCAGTCTGTCGGCGCCTTCTAGCGAGCAATCTTTTTCTAGCCTATCGATGTCTGTGTATGGTGGGGTCCTGCACTTTTGCCCCAAATTGTAGCTTGCTAGGATGGATGCCACTTGAAATGAAGAGAGTACTCAGCAGATTTAAATCTTCGCGCACTCTCCTCAAAGGCTCGATAGTGCATGCGTAAGGATTGCCTAATATATCGCTGATCAGTGCACACTACATGACTTTGTGAATTCAAAAGTCCATAGAAGTATCATGTAACTCAATGAATTTTTTCCTGAACGACTGCTACCCATAAAAGGCCCAATGCTTGTTCAAAGTTTGCCCAGCATAGCAACAAGTGGTAACTGCCATGAATATGTTTTGAAACACAACACACACAAACAAGCAAACAAGAAACATTGATTTCTTTTTTTCACGCTATTCACAACGCATTTCTTTTCTTGCTTTCAATGAAATTCTTGCACCACCATACATCAATAAAATCAATTCCTGTAGACAATATTTTACTATAGCTAAAATCCATGAGAACTTAATCAAGAATAAAATGATAAAAAAATGCTATCAATTGTTATGAAAGCTCCATATGGTGTCTCGACATGTATATTAATGTCAAGAATAAAATGATAAAAAATGCTATCAATTGTTTTTAAGGCTCCATAAAGTGTCTCGACATGTGTATTAATGTCAAGAATAAAATGATAAAAAATGTTATCAATTGTTTTTAAGGCTCCATATGGTGTCTCAGCCATAGACGTTTGGAATTTTGTAATGATAGGCACTACTGGCCAAAATCTCCTTCCCCTATGCACTCTCTCCTTTAATGAGAGTTCTTTTCTGCTATAAGCTTGCTATGTGGAAAGAGTAAATAAAGATAAAAAAGCATATCGTTTACCTGCACTAAGGAGAATGATTGCGGTAAAGAGTCCAACCTCGCTCGTCACGATCCCTAACGACTTGAACTTGTGCGCAAAGTCCACCACGTCCAGCATGATCTCCTTGAGCGACGTCAGGCCGCACTCCTCCAGCATCTGGCAAGCCGACCCGCAGCTCTCGATCAGTTTGGCGCCCTCTTCTTTGGTGTTGAGATAGTGTGCGAGCCGCACCAGGAGGATCTCAAGCGAGCCCTGCTTGAGTAGCGTGATCTGGTCCGACTTGTCCAGCGTCAGGAAACCTGGGACGAGTTTGGCGAAGCTGATGATGCGGGTGATGGACGCGGTGAAGTTGTTTGTGATGAGGTTGTTGATGATTTTGGAACGAGTTGCCAGGATGCTGTCGCCGTTATTGTTGTTGTTGTCTGAAACCTAGAAAAGCAAAAAAATGAAATAAAAATATTAGTACTGCAGATACTTCTTAGATATAGTTTTTGGTCCATGGTTTAATGTCTGTTTTTCATGTTTCCATTAGAAATTGACTGCAGAGCAATTCCCAGGTAAACAGTTATATCATACTTTGAAATAATGGATTAATTGCAGCATTAAATTAAATAAATGAGTTAGAACTAAAACATTATTATATACATGCATGTTTAAAAAACACATTCGATAATGTTGAAATGAACGCAGAATTGCTCTTAGGGGCAAACTTCTGGTATAATTGCCAATAATGCGATCAGGCTTATCAACAGGAATTGGTTTATCCTTGGTCTCAACCGAGACAGACATGGCCTTATGAGATCCCAGCCTGGAGCCCTAGACAGACAGACACCCACCTGTGATAGAAGGTTATAACTCCTGCACTGTAGGATGCCCCAATCCCATAAGGTCTTCTTCTGTGCTTCATGGATGCTTAGTATGAGCTGCTCGGTCTTCATCTGAGAGTCCTCCAGGGTGCTGGTGTCTCCATCTCCTGCAGGGGAGCGGGGCGGGGAGGGCATCAACAGACCCTGGGGCTTGCACTTCTTGGGGCATCTGCCAAGTCGCACAGCTAAAAGGGGACCACATAAAATAATACATGCATGATGTTTAGCATTTATATATACATATATGAGTGTGAGAAAAAAAAAGATGACATGATAGTATCTGAAGTTCATCATTTATACTAAATTGTACGGAATAAAACCTTTGTGGGAATAATGAAAAGTTGATGATGGAACATATGTAATGGTGTTACACCTCATTCACAAATGAAATGATAAACTGCTTTAAAAAACAGCCCCCCCCCCCCGACGTCCCAGTGAGGAAAGACGAATGGTCTTTTTAATTGCTAGATTGCAGAGAAAGAACGTCAGCCTTTCTATTTCAAATGGTTGTATTTCTCAAAATACAGAATGAACTTGTGACTTTATGCAATTAAGAAAAATAATTCTTGGGCCCCGTCTTAAATAGAGTTGATATCAAATCGCAACTATGAATTTAAGCGATAGGAGACTGCAAACTTGTGATTGATTGGAGGACTTGCGATTGATTTGAATCAATTGTAACTCTTTGTAAGATGAGGCCCAAGAGTGAAACATTGTTTGGTTGCTTACCATCTTTGGACATCCCCACTGCAAGGCACTTCTTGAGGCGACAGTACTGGCATCGGTTCCTGTTTATTCTCATGATGAGACACTCGTCTCCCTTGCTACATACCCTGTACTTCACGTTGTGCTGGATGCTCCGTCGAAAGAAACCCTGGAAATTTAAGAGAAGCCAGCCATGTTAAATATCAGGTTCAACACCAGGTTAAAGGTCATATTAAAAGTCAAATAAAATAAAAAGTTATATCAAAGTCATTTGATTGCTACTTGAACTAAATCCTTGTAATCAATATTCAGGATACAGAGGCTTTTAAAAGTATTGAAGAAATCCTGGGTCTAATACTGTAAGCATTTTCTCTTGCATTTTTTCAAAATTTCTAGAAATAGTTAAGAATTGAGCTTACGTACCTTACACCCTTCACATGCATGTACACCATAGTGGAACCCAGAGGCCTTGTCTCCACACACCCGACATAGGACTGCATACCCACTTGTTGCAACAGACGTCATCATGTCACAACCTGAAATAATACAATTTAGTTCAAATTCATTACAGCAAATGAAAAATGTATACAAACATTAATTGATAATGACAATAATCTACTAATTAGGGCCATTAAATCTGCTTATAAATCTACATGCACTTACCTAATCATTCTAACCCTCTTCAATATATTCCACTGCACAAAGACACAGAAACATAGAGATACAATTAATTGTATCTTCACTCAATTTGTATCCTCAACCTTCAGTAACTTCAAATAAACTCCATGTTGAATACAGAAAGATAACAAAGGATGTAATAAATTGTACCATTAGTCAGATTGGAGATACAATAGATGTTTAATAGGGCCTGGGGGACAAACATACAAAAAAAGCATACATTTAATACTGCTACTGCATGTGCGTGCGACTTGTCCTTCAGGCTCTTTAGGTATCAAATCTTTCTCTATTCTGCCTTCTCCTAAACTAGGTCAAAATCAAGCAAATTAAGACAAATAAACTGAAGTTTCTTTTCAAAGCGAAAGTGCTTCCTGTATCTAGCACTTCCGATTGGTTTAGACAACTCCCTATCCTCCACAGCACACGGAACTAGTCTGCAGAAACAGACTCTACTTGACACTTGACACGATTCCATCAAGCCTTGAGCCTAGCCTGTGACTGGAGCAACTACACCACAGGGTCTACAGACTGGGGGGTATCCTTAGTCTCAGAGTTCATACTCTGTGTTACGTGTTGTTATGCAAGAGGAGGGTGTGTGCCCCGCAAACTACGTCCCAACTGGGTCAGGTTATCAGGACTAGTGAGATGAGAATTGACATCTCCCTGAACTTGACCTTCAAGATCCCATTACCAGTCAAAAGAGTGACCTACTTTCTGGGCACACAAGTAGATGAGTAGTTTCCTAGTCTCTTCTTCACAGACTCTACCATTGTAAGCACCACGGGACCGTTTCTCGAAACCGTCATAAGTCTTACTTCTTAGATATCCCATTGAAACGTGTGTTATTTTATGTCCACGAACTTAGACTTAGGACGGTTTCAAGAAACTGGTCCCTGATTCCGACTTGAGCCTTAAAAGGAGAGCCTGGCTTATCGACTGACCAATATTCTAAAATCAATTTATACTCCTATATAATTGATAGATTGATGAAAAGAATCTCATTGTTGTTGACTGCTGAGAGACAGAAAGGCATTATACTCCTACATGTTGGTATATATATTGCTCAGAGGAAAAGCCCTTCACGCTCTCCTCAGATGTACATTTGGTGAAACCAGCAAAATGTACTCAAAATCGGAATGGATTCTTAGAATGATCAACAATATCGCAATAAGAAACCGAACAGCGCTACATCCAGGAAAAAGAAGAAGAAAAAGTGGTTTCAAGTCTATGTTTCACTAGCCATTGACTTTAATAGAGAGAGCAGGTATAGCTACAATACATTTATGAAGAAGTTGATGGTGGACTATTAATATTGTGGCAGCAATGGATTTGATTCAACGTCTCTGAAATAAGTTGCACGTAGGTCATATAGTTGATTCTGTGGTCCTGGCTTTTAATCATGCGATTTTCGATCCTAACTCACATCTTTCAGTGTTACCCCTAAAAAAACTAAATAACGGGATCTGACTGGCCTATGTGTACACATCTGTACAAACCAATCCCAGACACACATACATAGACATAGCCATACTTTTCTTTAAAAAACATTATTTTAGAGGACAAATGTGTAATTAAAGTTGACTATAAACAGGAATAAGTCTAACAGAGGAAGGAAGTGGGCCTCTAAGGGTGTCATCATATGACATAAGTGAACAGGAGCATCGGGGAACAACTATACAATGCTGAATTCTCTATCTTTAAAACAAAAAAAATCCATCCCTTTCCCTGAATGTATACACAATGCAGTTACATGTATGTGTTTCCTTGTTCGATTCCCACCAGCCCCGTATCAGTATCAGACGGCATGTTTCCAGCTAGCTAGGTTCATGGATAGTAGAATCCATAATGAACTACGCACTTTTCTTGACCTTTGATAGTCTCAGCGACTAGAGTACATTCGCACATTGAGGACACCATAGAAAACCTACTCAAACATGATTGAAGGCATGCATGCCCTCGCAGAAGAAGATGACTCTGAAGAAAGACATGGCGTGAGTCACAGTCAACTCTTAAATGTCAATTTATTTTCTCTTTTCATGGCCGCATTCTGTTAATGTACAAGTGCTAAAAATAATCCTCATGCTCCCCGTTTTTATTTCGGTTCCTCCTTCTCGGCTGACCCAATTAAAAGCGTCTGTACACTCATACGCACATGATTATAAAATGTTTTCCCCTCATGGTCACCTCTTGTATGTCTGGATCGATATTACATTCACGGGACTAGATATCTATGCACAGTAACTCTGGGTAACTCTCATTGAATCATGATATTCAAATTTGAACATTATACAAAATCCTGGTATTTTTAGATGGATAAAGAGAATGAGATGGTAATATATAATACAGGAATACTTGTACCAAAAATGGGGATTTTACAAGAGCATTCATTTCCTTCACGATATTTCCATAATTTTTAATGTCAAGCTTCTGTACTGTTATTACATGTACATGTATTTGCTACTCCTGTCTTTTTCTCTTTCTTTCTCTCACCCCTCTTTCTCTCACCCCCTCCCCACTCTCTCTCCTCTCCCCCCCCCCCCCCCCTCTCTCTCTCCTCTCTCCTCTCTCTCCCCCCCCTCTCTCTCTCTCTCTCCCCCCTCTCTCTCTCTCTCTCTCTCTCTCTCTCTCTCTCCTCCCTCTCTCTTTCTCTCTCCTCTCTCTCCCCCCTCTCTCTCTCTCTCTCTCTCTCTATTATACTGGTACTTTCTTTTCTTCTAAGGACTACATAATGTGATGATTATCAACTGAAGTAGATAGTATCCCTTAGATAAAGATGGTAGCAGGTGATGATGAGGAGGGACACTTGAGGCGTTACATCGAACTGCTTGACCTCCTCTCGTTCTTTTATCTCTCCCATCATCATCATCGGGGTTAATTAAATCAATGTGGATTAATTCATCATTTCCCCTGCAACACAAATATAGTCCACCTTCCAACGCTCTCTCTCGACTGCAGACAAAGAGATGTGTGGCTGCTGCAGGGAGGTTATCCACCCCTGAGGTTAAGTGATCATGCAGCAAACAGATTGCCTCGGCAGGATTATGTAACATACCGTATTTGAAATTAGCGAGACAAAGCGGAGTTGGATGGTTTGGGCGTCACGAGATACACACCTGGCCGTGTACATAAGCGAGAAACAATGAATATGGCAGATAGATGTATTCTGGTCAAACCACAAAACAACATTTAGTCACAATGACGCAACTTCTATGCGCGTACAGGGACGTGATTCCACAAATTAACGATATCCTCTTAACACCATAGCATAAACTGTACATATACATTGCTTTGCCTGTTTTGAACATATTTGATGTACCCCCTCTCCCCCCCCCCCCCTGCCTCCCCACACAAACACATTAATTAAAAGAAAGTGAACATGCAAATGTGATTATACAACAGTACCAGTGGGACTTCATATGGGTTGCATTATAATCTATATTTCACACTATCCTTCTTCGTTTAGATATCTAGAAATAGGAAACAAGTCTCAATACTTTAGAATGTTATTAGTTGCTGCAACTAATAACATTCTAAAGTAAGATGACTAAAAACTCAATTTCCTCTGTTTACAAAAGAAAAAATGTGAGTGAAAGAGAGGTATATAGTCACCATAAAGCAATTCAAGTGCTTTTAACAAATGTCTATTTGCACAGACTGCCAATTCTTTTCATATTTCATAACTACTGATTTTTATTGATTATGAATTCAAAAGGAGTTAAAAATAGACATGTAAATACCAGATAGTAATAGACACGTACCCTGACACCAAAGTCCAAAAAACAACACTTTTTTCCCCGGTGAACAGGAACTAGATTTTGGGCAAACAACTTCACACCCCACCTCCTCTTAGTTGCTCTTATACATCACCAAATTTCACATTATGGCTTCAATCAATTCTAAAAGTTAAGTCTTAAGATTGACCAGAATGGTTTTCTGGGTTGAAGATTATGGTCCTTATTAGAAAGAGTAACAATTGATTTGAAGCAATTGCAACTTATTTTAAGACAAGGCCCAGAATGAATTGGCAATCTCTTACATTACGGTAATAATGATAATGAACTATTTTTGCAGTGCATATATATATATATATATATATATATACCATGCACTGAGAGGCTCTAGTTGAAATTATGGATCGAGGTGGCAGGAATAGCACTATTTCTGACGCTATTCCCAATCAATAATTGGGAATCCTGCAGCGAGACTACTGCATATTTGCCTAACTTTTAGAGTTCCCTTTTTGTAAGGGTATATAGGTAGTATCAGGGCCAAGTACGCGTGACCTCTACCACAAAATAATGTCAAGAAGACTTGAACCGACCTTCTTTCAAGGTAGGCAGAAGGAAGGAAGGAACGAACGAGACAGAAACCGAGAGAGAGGGGGGGGGGGGGGGGGGGAGAGAGAGAAAGAGAGAGAGGGTGGCGACAGATGAAAGAGAGAGAGAGAGCAACACAAAAAATGGAGTGAGAAAGAGGAAAGATATATAAAAGGAGCAAAAAATAGTGATGTGTAAAGGAGCAAAAAGAAAGAAAGAAAAACAGAAAGATATTGGTGTTCATGAGAAGAGAGAAAGAAAGACACCATCATTTCGAGTCATCACACAACTACTTCCCAATACCTGGCAAAAGTAAGAAACATATATATCTTTAGCAACCAAAAAATTAAAAGAGAGAAAGAGACAGAATAGGGGAGAGAAACCCAGAGAGAAATAAATGAATAAATTATATCAACATAAAACATGCCTCCAAGCTCGGCCTCTATTTATGGAAGTATGACTGTATTGACCCGACCCACCTTTCTGCCAAAATAGAAATGGCCATCAACTAAACAAAGTGAAGATTACATGTCAATCAATAG